CTCGTGCTTTACTCTCGCGCTGCTCCGTGTGGCAAATCGAGCGCACCTCTCTGCATTTCGAACACGCGTCACCACAATTAAGAGGGAAGCTCGGAAAGCTAAGCAGAAGTTATTTGGAGAGGAGAGTGACTGCCGTTGGTTGAAAAGAAAGGTTAAAAAAAAACTTCAGTAGTGTGGAAACATGGGTTCGCGGAGTCAGACGTGGATCAAGTAGACATAGTGTGTAAACTTAGCTACAGTGTCGTAGCTGCACCACAGCAACACTGCAAAGTTCACTAAACATAGATGTTTACATTTTTCATTTATTTTTTATATTGCAAACATTTGCACTGTTATCAGTATTTGCACACTATTTTATATTATTTTTTGACAATCTTTAAAGTCATTATTCAAAATATTGTTATTGTTAAATAAATATCGTCAAATAATCGAGATCTCAATTTCAGTGAAAATAATCGTGATTATCATTTTTGCCATAATCGAGCAGCCCTAGTCCAGTCTGCAGAATATATGTAAATAATAAGGTAGCTTATATATTGACATAAGTTTGGTGCTAGCAGTTTGCAAGCACAAAGCAAGGACTGTTTTCATTGATTGGCTCCAGTGATCATTCAGATATGAGATGTTGTATATTTATAGATTTTTAGGACCCTCTCTAAATGTTCGTCCAACAAATTGATGCGCCCTTCAGCAAAACAGAGTAAACATACCTGGCGGTGTTCTCAGCTCTCACCTTCTCTGTCTCTCCATATTTTCTCTCCCCTCTAGTATGAACAGTTTGAAAGTACAATTGGTTTTAAGCTCCCCAACCACAGAGCTGCCAAGAGGCTGTGGAAGGTCTGCATCGAGCATCACACCTTCTTCCGGTAAGAATCGATCCGCTCTCATGGTTGGAGGGTTTTTCATTCGATGGCCATCTAAACAAACCGAACACTTCCCTGTGTACAGCTTCATTAGGCACAGTCGCTCGGGCTACTGCCGTGGTCACCGTGGCTTTGCTAGTAAACTTAACTTATATACTGATTTAGCATTACAGAGGTCACACATGCATGAACTGCACGATACAGCTCTCTATGTGATAGCACGCAGTTACAATTACAGAGTTACAAAGTTCCAGACTTGCGTTCGGCACAATTTACAGTGCGCGCTACTCTGTTTTTTGTCAGACTTGAAATAGCCGAAATACCTTCACACTACAGAACTTCTGTGGCTCTTCCGTTCGACAGTCTCTCTGGCATTGGAACATCATCTGTTTTCTCTTTGGTAACCTTCAGTCTCGGTTGATTTTTCTCTAGTCGACACACTCATTTCCTCCATTACCCGGGCGGCATGGCGGCTGGCTGCTCCCCAAACAAATACACATGTGCGGCTTGGCACTTGTGCTGTACGTAACAAGTCACGTGACGTGA